CCGAATATTTATGAACTGAGATCCTATCAACTTAGAGTAAGTTTCAGGTTTTTTTGTTTTTTAAGCTATATGATGTCATAAAATGTTCAAAGAGTGTTTATACAATGCGGATGGAAAACAGGCCTTGTCTTAAAAACCTGGTTCTTATCAAAGCTGATGGCTGAGTCATTGTTGCTCTCAAAGTGTGGGGTCTGAAATGGAGGCAGGCTCCAACGAGATACTGTTGTCTCCTGTGAAGGGCTGGAAATCCTGTGTTTTAATTTGAGGGAAACTTCTGGAAAATGACTAAGAACTCATATAGTAAGTAAATTGAGTAATTATAGATGATTATAATACGCTTATCACTTGAAGGAAGTGCTTTTATTATTAGTGTTTTCCATATGTAAATGTGAGTACCATCAAAATACTGCAGTTTTCTTTAAGCTACAGTCTTAACAGTCTGTTTTGTTCTTGTAGCCTGGAACTATGATTGAGTGGGGAAATTACTGGTAAGTACTGCCTTAGCACTTTTGTTTTTGTCTTTGAGAGATGTGTGTTTAAAAGTTATGAAGTGGAAGTGACAGAATGGTACTGAAGCATTTCAGGCACCCAGTTAATGGTCTGCTTCTGTTCTCAGGCAACTTGTAAAATAGTTCTTTGACCCTCAGTTTATCCTTTGAGGAAAGGAAAAGGAATTCTTTATGCAAACAGTGCTGTGGGCTGAGTGGTTTGGTTTTCTTTTACATAAGCCTTTTAGTTCAATATCATATAGTAGAAATAAGAAATAATTTATTTTGAGTAGAAAGCACTGCTCATTGAAGGATGCTTTTAACTTCTTAAGAGTGTGTCCTTCTTCCACAACTTCAGCACCAGTAGAAGTTGACTTGTTTTTCTTTCAGGTATTCTAAGTCTTGACTCTTTCAATCTTTAAAAGCTAAGTTGCTTCTTGAAAACCTTTTGAGCAGCACATTTGTATTCTAGCATATAGGTTAAAAACATTTGAGATGGTGTCCTCTTGAGTGTATGCTTCTAATTTTGACTTATTCAACAGTAAGTTTCTTTCAGTTCATACTCAGTAAGTTCGTGCAGTTCTTGTGATTGACAGTTAACTAACTATGGAGTATTTTCAATTATTTTGACAAAGGTGAGGACTTGGATTTCTAGTTTAGCCATTGTCATTGGTATAATTTATTTTATTACAGTAATTTTCCATTAAATTGAATTTCAAATTTTTACATAATAGGCATATCTACAATAGTACCAGTCTGTTTTAGAAGGTGAAACAGATTTATAATTTTCAAAGATATTGATCTTGTTCACACAACAAATCACAAACTGTCACAAGACAGAGATCCATGTGAGGAAAAAAAGCTATATTCTGCAACCAGAAAATCTGTGGTAAATGGGTGTGACAAAGGCAAGGTGACAGAAGCCCAAGGTTTTAGTTTGAGAGCTGAATACTGTTCAAGCAGTTATCATCTTAATGGATCTAATCTTGAAGACAGTGATTAATGCAAAGTCTGATGAAACCAAGGCCTCAAATTTTAACACGTTCTAACAAGATGTAGGCATCTTTTAACTACTTAGTGCTAGAAATCAACAGGTTTAGGTTTTTTTCCTCATTTTTAATTGAGAAAGTGTACAGTAAATGCTGTTTAACGTTTGGGGTTCTGTTCACATCTGCTTTCTTTTCAGTTATCATTCATTTGCTACCAGGTCTGTTGTTCTTAAAGATTCCTCCTCTCTTCTGTAGGGCCCGTGCAATTCGTTTCCGACAAGATAGTAACGAAGCAGTTGGAGGATTTTTCTCACAAATTGGACAGCTGTATATGGTTCATCACCTTTGGGGTAAATTTGTTTATTTTAACTGTTTTTTTTCTCACTCAGTCAGCCTCTAACAGACTGTTGACTTTGCCCAGGGGACAAAGTTGTTACAAAAGCCAGAGGAATGTCTTAACGAGTATTTTCTTTTACATCAGCTATATTGATTTTCTGTATTTTTGCATAGACAACTTTATTTTTGACAGAAACAAGCAGAACTGAACATTTTATGCTTTGTCTTGTTTCTGTCAAGTTTCTGTAGGGCTTTTCCTATCTACTTGTTTGCTTTCAATAATATAAGCATGACAGCTCAGATCCTGTCCTCTCTTTTTTCCATCCCCATTTATGCTGAAGTCAGATTTTTACAGCTTAGTTTGAAGCATCACACATATCATATTTAAAAGAAGGGAAGTCAAGCAGTGATTTACATTATAGCAGTACAACGTTGTGGCTCACTCCACTTGTTAATTTCTACTGATGCTTAGGTTCCTTCTACTCTAGGATTATTTTGCCTTGAAGAAACTCATTGTCTAATGTTTATTTTAGAAAACATGCAGTATTAACTTCAGATCTTGACAATTCAGAATATTGTATTCCAGCTTTTGAAATGTGATCCCCACCACCCATGTAGAACTCTGTTGCATTATCTCCCTTATCTATTTTAAGACATTTCTCCCCACCTCATTAAGCTTTCTCATGCTGCCTCTGATAGCCTTTATTGCATTTAAAAACTACAATCAATACGCAGATTAGTTTTTTGGCCATTTTTTACAGAAATGCTCGTGATCGGGATGAATGCTGATGACTGTTTACCATCCCCACCCAAAACACTCCAACCACACAGTACTTACATAATGTAGCTTTTGCAGAGTACATTTCTCTCTCCTCCCCAGTTCCTTCTATTTGCATTGGTTTCCTTTTTGTGGAGAACATCTTAGTTTGTAGTCTTCTAATAACACAAACTAGAATACCTTTAAGGTAGCTGTACATACATAGAAGGAAAAGGAGTTACTTAGAAGCTTTGTGCTCGCTGTTGTCTCTTGCCAGCTTACAAAGATCTCCAGACCAGAGAAGATATAAGGAATGCTGCGTGGCATAAACCTGGCTGGGATGAACTAGTCTATTACACAGGTAACATATTAACTCCTTTGGAATGCTGGAGGCAGACCTTTCTGCAGGCCATCATTTTTATTCTTCATTACATTATTCAATGATAAAAAGTTTTGCATCTCTGTGTTATGTATGTGTGTTCAGTTTTGCTGCTCTAAGGAGGGACATTTCACTAAGCTGTAAAAGGAGTTTTGCAATTGACTGTACAAACTTTGGAGGCCTTGCATAATTGTTAAAAAAATTCTATTGTTAATAGTAAATTTTCATTTCAAATGCCTCTACAGAAGAGGAGCAGATTTATGTAAATGCTTAAATTGTGTCCAACAATCTAGGAAGCCAACAGTAAAATGTATCTGTATATTAAATTATTGCCTCTAATATTTCACTTAAGTACTGGAGACTTGTTAAATACATTCCTTTGAGATGGAAAATTAGACTTTGGAACTGATACCTGGAGATCGCTCAGATCAAAGATAGCTTTCATTACAGAACTCAGAGAAGTATGCTAAAAATGTGAGATTTTAGTTCAGTGAGCTTTATTTCAAAGAAAATATACCAGAAAAAATGTAAGATATCTTTTGATTCAAAGAAGCAGACAAATTACATGAAAAAAACCAGAAGTTTCTCAGAATGACCGCGCTTCAGTTACGGGACTGTTGGTGGTTACTGTTGATTTGGCATGCACAAGCTGGGGGGTAATTTGAAGGCAATCGTATCTGTTGGAACTGAGCATGCAGAACTGTTGATGGTCTCTGTCAGTGAAATTAAACCCTATCTCTTTTTTTTTTTTTTTTTTCCAGTGCCCCTTATTCAGGAAATGGAGTCCAGAATCATGATACCATTGAAGATTTCTCCACTTCAGTAAAGTCATTGATTTATTTGTGCCTACATAGATAAAGTGACAAGTATTTGTCTTAATTAATTTATGGTATACATGGTATATCATAGTCAAAAATATAAAAGTACTGTATTGAGCTTATAAAGGAGACCTCTTTTCTTCAGAACCTAATGACCTTTTGCTCTTGGGATTGTACCAGGAAAAAAAGAAATACAGGACCGTAGCTAAAAGGTTGGTTAATGTAAAGAAACTCCTCAGGTTAAGTATGGCGTATGGTATTTAATATCTCCTCCTGGACAGAAAATGCCCAGTGTTCACAGCAGCAATAGAATGGAGTGTTATAGTTGCAGTGGCCTTTGTGTAGCATTTATAATGGCTGCAGATTGCAAAAACAAATGGGGAAGTTCTGAAATCAGGAGCTTTGAAACCCTCAGGCAGTTCACCTAACTTTCTAGCTGGGCTGAAATCAGTAAAGTAGCTCTAAATTTATGAACAGACGGTTACTAATTGAGGGTAATATTGTCTGTCACGTGATAGCTTGCAGACAGAGAATAGGGCATTCTGTTTCACAAGGACGTTGAAGCTTGTTGAAACCTAACTACACGTTTTTCTAGATATCAACATCTGGAATTAATTTTGTGAAATTGTTTAGAGCCTTTTTAAAAAGTATGACCCACTGTTTTCAAAGAGATACTGACATGATTGTCTGAACATTCTGCAGAGAATCAACTTCAGTGAAATACATTTATCTCTAGATATAACTCAGAAATCTAGGAAAAGGGGTTTTATTTAATAAGCAGTCATGACTTCAGACGTATGCTTGGTCAGGTGTTTCACTAACTGTACAGTAGGTGCTTAAGAATTAATGTGTGAAACTGACGCATGTTGAGTCAATAGGATTGGCATAGAGCAACGTACCATTATGTCCAGTTCTATTTTGATTTCACTTTTAAACTAGAAAATATCAACACTTTTAATGTCTGCGATGATGTGAACATCCTGTCAGTGAAAATAATGTTCTCTCTTCAAAGTGGCTACAAGAATCAGTGTAACACAGAGAATGTACAAATCAGTTACTGAATGTCCAATTTGTACATTTCAGTGAGTTTCAGGAAAAACATCAGTCAATAAAATCCTTTTAATTTTCACATATTACTGGCACCATATACGTATTGCACCACCTGTCTTTTCTCTCATCTTGCAGTGTTTCTGATGAACAGTTTCAATAATTGCATAGAACACATTACAGCTTAGTGAGTCAGTCACTTCCAGTATCACTTCCCTGTGTCAGGGACAGCATTTCTCGGTATTCAGCTCTCTTTCTCCACAATTAATTTACAATATTGCCATTATATGCCCTTTTCTTAAATGTTTTAAGTGCTATGGTGATAAATACAAAATATTTCTCCTTTTCATTTTCTCCATAAGTTATGCTTACTTTTTCAGTTCTAATTTCTTCCTTTTTCTCACGTAAAACACACGACACTCTTACCTTCTTCTTGGATAGAATCAACATTTGATCTGATTCATGTTTGGTTTTATATTTGCTTTCTGTGTTATGTTGTCAGCTGATTATGGGATTTTACTGAGTAAAACTTCTCTACTGTATTAAAGTTCTCAGCTTGGCATGGTTAATGTGCCACATACATCACTTCAGCTGAGTTAGGAGATCAGTGCTATCATTTGGGATTTTTCCAGACTTCTGAAGCTACTTTTAGCTACAAAAAGCAAGCAAACAAACAAACAAACAAACAAAAAACCATCAGTTTGCGGTCCTTGTTATTTCTCCCAGTATCCTCTCTTTTTTCTTATTCCTAGAGGGTTCACCAGGTAATCCAACCCTCATAACCAACCATCTTGGTGACAGAGGAAGGATTTATTTTTTACATTTATACATTTTTGGAGTTAAAGGATTTTGTGGATTCTTTTGCAATCCACATTTCTCACCTTCAGCCAGGAACACTAGGAATTAAATATAGCTGGGCATAACTCTTGTTATTTTAAGGCCCATTAAATTTTGCGTGAATCAAATATGTGAGGAATAACGGAATGTTCTTCATATCCTCCTGAGTCTTTGTGTTATCTAAGATCAGAATTCTGGGTAGTATTGCAACACATTATGAATGTACATGCTGTCCTGTGCTACAAACTCATGCTCTGTCCATCACTGGAGAGGCATGACTTCCTGCTACTTTAGTTACGGATAACTATGTGAGATAAACTCACAAACCTGAACATGCTAAATAATAATGACAGTCTTTCCTTACTTACTGTTGCCTGAGTCTTTTTTGAAGTTGGCTTTCTCCTGTTATGAACATTATTGTGATTTTTTCCTCTTACTGTCATGGCCCCCTTTGCTTTCTTCCTTTGGCTCACAGAATATCGACGTTTCTTAGAGAGTAGAATTCAGAACTGAAGTCACTTTCCAGTGATTGGAAAGCAGGGAGTAATGCCTGTGAGAGTTTCTGGTAATTGCTAATTTCTGATCCAGTTATAGCACTGTAATGAAGATACAAACTGAAGTTTTAGTGGTCCTGTAGTCTTCCTAGAAAGATGACAAATTGTTCTTAAAAAGTCCCCTCATGGAAATTGAAGGTATAACTAAAAGCAACTCTGTCTTGTGAATAATCACATAGAAATAAAACGTTTTATCTGAAGCAATATACTTCCCCATAGCTCTTAGTCAGGAGACACACTTGAAGACAAAATGGTTATCTGCCTCATAACCTATACTACTCTCCAGCTCTCTATGATGGGTTATGGTCAAATAAACCAGTAGCTTGGTTGTAATATTGAAAGTAGCCTCATGCTGCTTTATTCTCTCTTAGTTTTGTTTTAGTTTTCCAGTATTTTACAAACAAAAGCTGCTCACTAAACTAACCAATCTTTCCACTCCTCCTGCTCTAGGAGGTAGGGCCTGCTGCTGGCCCACTGGAGGGGGTGTTACTTTTTTCTAAACAGTCAGACCTAAAGGGCTCTTGTGAAATCATTGGCATAATGCTGTGTTTCCATAGCAGTCACACTGGCAGGAGGTACTGTTGTGAATGTTAACATCTCTGTGGCACAAAGCCTCATGTACCGCCGTCTGCTGACTGTGGCGTTAGTGGAATTACATACACTTGAAGCATGTCATAACGTTTGTAGGATCAGGGCCTGTAACTATAGCCAAGTAGCTAGGTGTTTTTAATTCAATAGAAAACTGCAACAAACAGAAACACTTCTTTGCTTCGTAACTGTAGAATTGTATAGAAATGAGCTGAATAAGAGCAGGAGTTTACACTTGTTCTACCCATGCACTCTTGCCTAAACAAAAGCATGATTGTACATGGGCTGCCCCTGGAGCTGGCTGAGATTCTTCTCAGGAAGAATTCAAAAGAGATGATGTTTAATACTTCCAGAAGAGTTCTGGTGAGCAGCCTCCCAGTTATTGGCTGTCTTGTCTTTTGTGGAGATGTTTAAACTAAATACAAATATGCAGTATAACTGTATCTATTTGTTTCTGTTTGGTTTTTGGTTTTTTTTTTTTTTTTTTTTTTTATCATTCTGCTTTCCTAGTGTTGAAATAGTGTTTGTTACTTACTGCCTCTGCTTTTTGCCCAAAGCTTGAGATGGCATTACTGAGAGCTGTCATTCATCACTATCCATGACTCCGTTTCTCCCCTTTCCCCATCTGTCTTTCCTAATGATGTAGTAAAATGGGCAAAACAAGTATTTGTTTTAATTGCTGGTGGTGCTTACATAATTGGACAGGATCACTTCACCTTGATTTAATCATATTAAATTAAGAAAAGTTTGTGCAAGTTGTGCAAACCAGTAGTGGTTATCTTGTGGAGACAGTGTGAGGCTCTGGAAGGTAAGCACGTCACTTTTTAATCTACCAGTCTATAAAATGTTTGGTGGGTTGGAAGAGGTGAACCTAAGAGTGACAGCATTCAGAGTGATCTTCAGTTTCAGGTTTATTTGTAAGCACACAGGGTATATGAGCCTGCATAGAGGGTTCTGTCCCCAGGACAAGTTATGTCATATCAGCCCATCTTTCTCCTGTGATGTTATTATGTGGATGGAAGTGGAAGACATATCTTTCATTTTGCCATTAGTAAAGCTTTTTACATTATCTCAGATGAGATTCTTATAAGTTGGGGAAATAAAAGTACTATCATGTGTCAGCAGTGCTAGTTAAAAAGACACACAAGAGATATCAGGGATTTGCTGACAAAAAAAGCACAATTTATCAAGTGAGTTCTGCATAAGGTCTCGCTTAGATCAGAACTGTAGCAATAGAAGACAGACTCTTAAGAAACAAGGATTCATTAGCTGAAACCTCAGTTAAATACTTGTTTAGAACAGGTTAGACTTCTGGCACAAACAGTTTGAAGGTGGTTGATCCACACTTGAGGCAAAAAAAGAGACCAGGTAAGTTTCCCACTGTTTTCTTAATCAGTAGGCATTTTGTAAAGATAGGTGAGTCAGCTTCCATCCAGTTATAGGTTGACAGAGAAGAGATTGTTAAATAAATAAAACACTTAAGTAAACAGTGTTACCATCCGACAAAACTACAATTTGAGAGTTTGCTTGTAAGTGTTTTAATGAGGTAGGTGAAGCATCAATTGCCTTAAAATATGCTTCTGGGATACTGATGAATATTGCATATGCCTTGGATTTGCATGCATCTCATGTCTTTTAGACTCTAGAAGTTGAGTAACAATGATGTTGGGTAAGAGACTACACCTCAGGTTCTCCTGTAAACCATATTTTAATGAAATCAGAGTTATATAGGTAGGAAACATTACTGAATGTTCACTGTTTAATCTAGTTTGGAGATTCTTTGGAATGGAAACTATTTACCTCCTAGATTATATTATTGTTGATTAAACAAATTTCTTTTGGTGGCCACCTCATTTTTCTTTTGCTACCCCAACTAGATAGAGGTATTTGCTTCAGTGGTTTTGCAGCAATAGGTACACAATATTAACCAGGGGCCAGTCCATTAAAGTGTTATTAACTTATTGATACTTACCTTGGGTCTTCACTTCTGAGTGAATAATCAACTGACCTTTTTCCACTTTGGAGAAGATGTTTTCAAAAGATCTTTATATTTTCATTGCAAGTTATTTGATTAGCATGGTGCCATTTGCAACAGGCATTTCATGTAAGAAAAGTACCCAACACTCAGAATCATTAGAAAATCCAGAACACAACTTTGCAAACAAATATATGTTTAATTGCATTTTATAGTTGTCTTACAGCTGTTAAATATATTATTTTACTGTATAATTTATCGTTCTTCCAGCTCCTTTAGCAGTTCATCAAAGTGAGTAATGTACCATTTGGCTTTCTCCTTTACTTGCTTTCTGATTACATTTCCTCCAAATCCAATGAAGCAGTCCTTCAAAACACAAAGAATGAGCACGTATATTATTGCAGTCCTGTTTAAGGTATGAAGCATTTCGGCAATTGAATTTGTTTGTAAGATTGTATTTTAAAATTACAGTGTTCTTCCCCACCTCTTCCCCTGTTTTACTTGGCATGTTCATTTCCATATTTAAGAACAGGAACTTCATTAACATGTAATTTCATGCTGCTTTGGTTATTAGAGTTTTGTTTCAACAGCAACAGTAACTTCCAGATTGTCCAGATCTGAGATTTGTACTGAAAATCTGATATGGCTGTGATGCAACATAGAGCCTTACTATTCAAGAATGAGTTAACATTCTGAACATGCATGCAGCATCTCGCAGTTATCCCTATTCTGTTTATCTTAACTCTGTTTACCTCATTTGATAGATACCAGAAGTAAACATTAACCATGATTTCAATCATTAACCATGAACAGTCATCTTTCTAGATTTTACAAAACCAGCTGCAGTGAAAATAATGTTTAAAATTTCCACTGCTGCATTTTTGCATTCGGGTAGAAAATATTAAGCAAATAGTAAGCTCCTTTGATCACGCACATATTTAATGCTAAGGGACCTGCTGCCATAAGTCACATCAGCAACAGCCCTCAGAGTTTGTTCCTGTGTACAAGGATATCTGCCCCCAACATTGGCAAACCAGGGGCACTGGGGTATTTTTTTTGTAGAGGTGAGACACAATTAGGATCTCTCATCTCTGAAGTGACCACTTATAAAAGCTATTTTTCTAGTTAGCTATTTTTATTTCATCCCTGAGATAGGGCTATCTTCAAAGGTATCATCACTTTGCATTGAGATGAATCCTGTTGCTAGGCTAGTATCAAGTAAATGTTGCATCAGATCTATGTCAGATCTTCATGCTTAGCACCATTTATTAGCATTTAGAAGTGGAATCTTGATAGTGAACCTCTGTACAGGGCCCTGTGTGGAGGCAAACACTGGCAATGTAGGTGGAAAAGGCAGACATGATATCAGCTTGATTTGCAACAAGTTGTTAGGCTTTATGCAGTTCTCTTGGACAAAGCCAGCACCCTGGCTTAGAGAGTGGAACATTTACTGAGTTTCAGATGAGAGAAACCAGACATTGCATGATGCAGCTTTTCTAGAGGAAACTGCCTACACAGATCCCTGAAGTGCTGCAGCTCTTACTTGAAGTCCTATAAGGAATTTAAGCTGCACTTTTTAAATACTTACAGCAGGAGGACAGGCTTCCATGTCTGTAGCTCCATCTCCAATCATAACTACTTTCTTAAAGTGGAACTGTTCTTTCAGATGAGTGATAACCTTTCCTTTCCCCCCTGATTCAGCTGTTGGTTGTGTTTCATCAAATCCTGCATATTCTCCTAGAACAGTAGAAGGATGAGTGAGACACACAGCATATTTTCATGTCAGTGCAGAAAGATAAATGCCTATGGTGTTTTCTTCAGAATGCAGCTAATTACATGCAGTCCTGTAAGCTTCACAATTAGCATCCTGAAGAAATAATCAGAAGGTAAGCATAAAAATCAGTATTTTACCTAAGTCTTCAGTGGGCTGTGAGCAGAAATGGTAGGGGACAAATTAGAAACCCTGTATGGTAGTGTGTCAAATCCATTCCCAGTCACTCTGATCCAGTCATTCTGGTCTAAATATTTGAAAAGCCACATCCAGTATGATGTATAAACAGTGTATAAAACACTAAGTAAGAACCAACCACACTAACCACAGTTCTGCTTGATTACACTAGCTTAAAGTCCAGAGCAGCTGCACTAAAGTTAAGTTCGTTGGTCACCATACATACCTCAAACTCACTGAAAGTGAAGTTTGCTTCTGAAAGCAGGTAAGTGTAATAAGCTCTTTAAACTTGAAAGAGTGAGAGAGAATGAAATTCTGCTGTCAGCAACCGTAATGCTTTTTAACTTTGGCACAAGTTGCAATTTAAAAGTACTGCTCTATTTCATTTATCTGAAAAATGACCTAAACTTGTGTTTTTGGGGGAAGTCTTGTGATTTTCCAACTTGGAGACGGAGTTGGTTTTGGAGCTGGCTGGATTGGTAACAAGGCAGTTTAGTCTGGACAATATCTGTAGCACAATATCTGACTGTTTAAACACAAAAAAAAATGGCACTAATTAATAGAGAAAATAGCTAGTTAGGGGAATCTTACCATTAAAGTAAAACTTCAGCCTGTTTGCAAAAACATTTGCTGTTGGAATGTTCAGCTGTAAGGCCACGTGCTCCACGATGCTCTGAAACCCCCCAGAGACCAGGAAGACCTGTACCCCTCGTTGATGAAGCCTGTTCACCAGCTCCCTGGGAAGAAAGAAAGTCACCAAGTGTGAACGCCACGCAGCATCTAGGTGTGTAAAGGAATACCAAGAAAGCCAAAATACATATTTTCTAAACAAGGCCATCCATATATTTTGTTAATCCACTTTACTTAGGGTGTGTGCTGCTTTCTAGCTCCATCCTAATCTGCTCCTAGAAATTTTTCTATCTTTTCTTTGCAAGTTTGTGCTGGAAAAGAGCTGAGCAAAACCATCTAGAGGCAAACAGGTATTTAGTTGCCCAGAAACAAGCACTGCTTAGAAATGTTTTCTTTTACACTTTCATATTGTTCATGTTTATTCCCCTGAACAAACGAGACCAGATCCAGTACAGATAATTTTCTGAAGCTAATAGCAAGGAAAAAAAAAATCTTTGGTACTGAAAAAGAGCAGAGAATGTAGAGGACATAAAAACCACTGCACAAAAATGCAGAAGTGGGCTTAAAGTGTACGAAGTGCAAACATTGTCTAACTCAAAATTGCTTACCCAAATATTCTGTGTAATAGAAGGCACCAGAAGAATTACAGAATGAAAAGTTTTCAGACCCGATTAATGTCAATGGGACTTAAGGGCAATTAAAAGTTTTACAAAAGCTGGCTGTAGAGGCGGGAAGATCAGCATACAGTGATCTAAGCAGTAGAAGTGATAGTAGTAACAGGAGAAATGCTAAATACTGGAAAGCAAAGTGGAGGCTTAAAAGAGGCTACCCAGGGAGGGAGGAAGAAAGGGAAGGAGTGAAAAGGAAAATCATGTGATTCTAAACACAGAAACAATGTTCCCTTTGTGGTTACATCTAGCTATGCGTTCTACAGAAAAAGCTGAGCATGTGCTTCATTTTAAGGAGAAAATATAAGCACAGTGTTGTCTTAAACATACTGTATGTGCCAAAAAAAATTTAGATTTACAGCTATGGCCAGAATCCATAGTAAAGGAAACATTTTCAGTTTTTTGAAACAATCTGAATAACTTATCCATTAGTCTATTTCAGTTTTTTCTTACCGTATTCCTGGTGTTAGCTGAGGTGGATTGTCAGATATTAACTTTTGCACTTGTTCATAGGAGGGCCGTATGAGTCCTAGTCGTGCCGTTAAAGCTGCTTTGAATGTCACAGTGCCACCCATAGCTCTGCGGGTCCTGATTGAGATCCAAACACAACAGATCAGTGACACTTAACAAGTTGAGGCTTCTCCCAGGGACTTAGTTTAACAGCAGTGTCAAGGAATAAGTTAAGAGCTCATTAGTTCTAGTTATACCTTGCTACCTATGTTGTAGAGGACAAGATTGGTACAATGAAAAGGTTGGTAGTAATCACTGGTGGAAGAGCTCCACAAATCAGACTCTTGTAAGACCCAGTGGCACAAAGGAAAATTGATTCTCTCTGTGAGTGCAATGTGAACCATTGGAAACACTGTTCCTAAGCTGCAGGCTGACTGATGTCTCTGAAATTATGAGGACTTTTGCTGCAAGTTTCAGTGGAAACATCAGCCTCAAAGAGGTGAAGAGAGTTGTTCCCTCTCCTCCATCTCATGTAAGGCTATACTAGAACTTAGTCTGGTTTAACAATGACACCTCATGGTGGTATGCCAAAGAAATGTACTTCAGAAAATTTTAGTATAGTCTTGTTGAGTGGCTGCACAATTTTTTAAAAAATAGAGTATTTCATTATGCTCAACCTCATCCATGCTTACTTTTAACCACTGTTCATGTGAAGAAAATAGCAAATATACATACATCTCTGCAACAGCATCTCCAACTCCGCAGAACTTTGCAAGCTCATCGATGCCTTCTTCCCTGATGACTGTACTGTCCACATCAAAGCATACTGCGTCAGCGTTGCGGAAGATTTCTTTCATCTCCAAAAGGGACGCCATCCTTTTAGGAACCTTCTTACTGTAAGAAGATAAGATACATTCTTTCTGTGAGTCACAGTACAGGACTCCGTCTTGAGCCATTGGAGCGACTGATCTGGTCGTGGCGAGAAGGGTCGAGCACAGCCTCCTAGCCAGCTTTTATCAAAGTGCGAGCAGTGGTGGAGGTCTGGCTCGGCTGCTGATTTGCTCTCTGCTGTTGCTGCCTGCTGATGTTCAATTTACGTTATAGGTGGGCTGTGGAGCTGTGGACAGCTGCTGATTTGCTCTCAGCAGGTTCAGCCCATTGATGTTCATTATGGGTTCAAGGCTGTAATACTTGGCATTTGCTGAACCATCAGATTGCCAACTATTGTGCATGACTCAAAATTCTCTTTTCTTGCCTCAGCTACTCGGATGGATATTGATTTCTCATCAGATCCCATGTGCTGTATCACATTAGTTGCCCCTTAAACATATCAGTGAGTGGTAGTCCATAAATCATGAAGATTCCACTCCTTTTCTGTCTTGATTAATATAATGTGGTGATACCTTAAGGGGTTCAGTGAAGTTCCCAAAGCCCACAACCACTTTTTCCATAACAATACCTGACAAAAGTTTATTTTCTACCTTTTTACATCTGTTCACTTGAAGGTGTTGGGCACTTCTGCAGGTGAGAAGCTCAAGGTGTTATTCAGAATATTTTTAGTTAACCCTACCAATCTTGTGCTTTATGCTTTCATAAGGGATTGCTGTGTGGACCTCACTATTTACCAATCTGTACAGTTAGGCACAACTTTCTATCTATTCCATTTCCAGATTTTTGTTGAAGTTCAGTTTGATTCTCTCTTCTGATCTCCTAGATTACACGCAGACTTCATGTATAATTGACCTGGGTGGCAGATTCTTTCTTTTTTTCTGGGTTAGAGGAGAAATAATTTTAACAGCGTGTCATATTGATTTATTCTTGCTCAACCTAATTTATTTTTCTCCTATATATTGTGTGAGTTTTCATGATGAGAGCTCTTACATGCACAAGTTTCCACAAAACTTTTTTTTTCCTTTTTTGTCCAACTTCATCCTTTGCACACAAAAGATACTCACTGATTGCTACATATCTTGCTGTGGAAGAGCCTTGGAGCTGAACAGTACTGAAGTAGCTCACCATCAGACAGGAGTCATCTAGGGATCATCAATGGTAAGCATCAGTGCTGTTTCCTGAAGTTTCTGTGTGCCTACTGAGAGGTCACAGCTCAATAGCTAACAGTCAAAGCAGCAAATAAAAGCCTTTGCTTTTATTCCCACTAGGCCTGGTTGTAGATGATGGTCTTTTTCCTGCCATAGGGCAGAAGTGGTTGTCCAAGTGCTTCGGGGTGTTCAGATTAAAAGCTGCTGTTCAATCTGCACTGTTATTGCTGGGCTAGCTCCCAGAAGTTTCATTTTTATTAATTTCTTAGGTGCACAAATCAACATTAGAACACACTGCTTAACCAAGGACCAATGCATTAACTACTGTTTAGAAACTTGGGATCAAACCGAGCTAACTGCTGTCTCAGTCCCTCACTGAAAGGTAAAATAAAAGTCCACAATTAAGCAACTGAACCTTAGGAGAGAAACCTGTTGTGTAGAGCTAAGAACCACATTTGTAAGTTAATCTCAGTTTACCAGGTAGATACCAGTGTTAAATATGGAAAAGAAAGAAACAAAAGACAGCAAGTCATGTGACAGATTAAAGGCAAAGCCATGAAACAGGACTGCTTAAAAGGGTCTTCTAGCTATTCTTGAGTTTTGTGGTCTGAACATGGCTCTCATTTGTGGCTTTTGCACAAGACTGCCAAGGTGATGCTGTTTCTTTCTTAATGTTCCTTTGTCTTGCAGGTGTGAGTGAGATTTGGAGAGCAGATATCACTCAGCCCATAGTTTGACAGGTCTCTGTTCTTGGTGCATTGGAGCTGTTCCCTGCACAGACATTGTAAAACTGATCTAACCTTAGAAGCTTCATGCACGAGAGAATTATTTGCTGCATTTATAGCACTCTACATATAGGAAAAACTATTATGGGCCATCAACATGACATAAGAGAAAGCAATCTCTTTAGTGACACGTGTTCCCTTGGACGGAGACTGGTTCTGAGCTAAGACCTGGCAGCAGGTGGACACGTGAAACATGAATTCCAAGTTTACTTTGCATTAGCCTTGGCTTGACATTGACTCCACAGCACAGTTCTGTACTTTCAGTGGAAGATTTTGAACTTCCTGAGCAGGAGGGCTTTGACTTCAGGGCAGGGCTTGGCAGCCATTTGCATCTACTTATGCACTAACATTTTTTAAATAGCATGTCATGTATTTATTTTTTTTCCAGCTTACTGGAAATTATAAAGAATTTAGCCATGGGTTTGGTGCCAATTTTCAGGATTTGCTCTACTGGACAAACTTGTTGCATCACTGCTGTGTGACATTTGCGTCATGTTATTCCAACACTGATTCCTTATTATGCAAAGCAGTCACATTGCCTCATGTTAACCTGAGGCTGCACTGCAACATTACCATATTATGATGCAATATGGCTGTGTGGTGACAGCACTGTTATGCGATTCCTTGGTGAGAACTTGAAATATATTTTTGGAAATGTCTTCACAATTTTAATCTGATAAAAATGTTATAGTTAGGCACACACTGGGAGGAGAAAGGAGGAGACATTAACTTTTCCTTCTCCCTGCTACCCCATTTCTCATATTTAATTCTCCTCTAAATATTCCTTACAGGGATGGAAACACTGCTGTGAGCCTCATTTCAGTGGATACATACACAAAACTGTGGCTGGAATTAACTCTGTTTTCTTTTTGTTCTACACAATGACTCTTCCAAAAGAGTTTTAGGCTATGGTTTATAATGCCTAAAAATGACATATTGTAAGGGAAGAACTGTGTTTTTGAAATGCAGAACAGAGCATTAGTTCCTGATCTCCCTTGGCGTATGACTTGCCAAAATCCTTCCACGTTCAACTGAAGGTAGGCACTGAGCCCTAGAAGATGCAGACTCATTTGTGGCAAATGTATCATCACACAAGTTGGAGACTTTGTGATCAACTGTAAAATGGTGAAATTCGTACTGGATCAAAGAGGAGAACATTTGGGGAAGTTTCAGCTATTGCAGGGAGTCTTGCTCGTGAGAAAAACAAATATTAGGAGTTAAAGGTTGTTAGCTTGGAGTAAAATAAAGTTATTCTGCTTTGGTCGGCAAAGCTCCAGGGTTGACCATCACCTGTAGAGGTTAGCAAATGCCACTCCAAACACTAACATGCCAAATTCAGTGACTTGTGAAATTTTTTTCCCAGGCCTAAATGTAAATGAGAGCATAAGGCAAGGCTAGTTGTGATTGAGCAACAGGCCACAGGAGTAAGGGAGGTACAGGTAGAGGAGGGTCTGCTCCTTCCTTTGTTTTCAGAATTTTCACTAGGCCATCCTGCCATGGCATTGACCAGGCAACTGCCTAGAATTACCTCCAGGTAACTTTGCAAGGGAAATAAGGACATACACAGTAGTTCATGTGGCCAGCGAAGTGGTCATGGCTTGGCCTCAAGCCTTTAGGTGTTTGGACACCTAGCTATATGGTTTAACTCTTATGTTGCCCTGTGTGAACTCAGGAGTTGGGCTCAATAATCCAATGAAGCAGCAACAGGGGGGGATTCAGGTTGGTTATCAGGAAGAGGTTCTTCACTGAGAGGGTGGTCAGGCATTGCAACAGGCTTCCAGGGCTGTGGTCACAGCACTGAGCCACTGGAGCTCAAAAAGAGTCTGAACAATACTTTCAGTCATGCGGTCTGATTTTTGAGTGGTCCTATATGAAGCCAGGAGCAGGACTCGATGGTCCTTGTTGGTCTCCAACTCAAGATATTCTGTGATTCTTATCTACAGGTAGGTGTCATCTGGAAATGTGAGGAAAGAGAATTGAAGTTCTGCAAAACTTCTCCATGGGCAAATCTCTAAAGGATTTAGTGAAGTAATAACAGTTTTTAATTCCAGAATGTTACGGGCCGCTGTGGATGGGAGAGATTCAGTTACTCTGAAACACAGACCATCTGATTGCTTAGATGCATCAATGCTTTTATGAGATGGTAAGAAAAAAGAAATTCCCACAACTAATAATTATGAGTTCTATCTCTGTGTGAAAAAAAGTTGGGTAGAAAATCTCTGCACACTCAACCATTGTATTTCAAATAGGAAATCTATTTCTATTCTATTATTTCCATGCTGGAAAAGTATCCATGCAGCAAACATTTCAACAGGTTTGATAATAAAATATAGTGGGGAAAAGATGAAAGGAAGAAAATTGAAAAGAGAGAAAGCAGCGAACAAAGAAAAAGCTGGAGGTGTAAGAAAAGAGACAAAGGGAAAGAGGTGGGATGAAAGTTGAGATGCAAATGGACAAAAAAGAAGTCAAAAGGGAAAATGGCATTTTCATGAGATCTCGGTGCCTCCAGACTGCATTAGAACACTTGGAAAAAAACTGGCATTTCCAGAAGAAATACAATCTCTTTCGTAACAGAGAGGGTGGAGTCACAGAAGCAGGCCTAACAATTATGTAAGAACACATGCTAAAGGAAAACAACTGTAATCTTTTCTGTTTGCTGACCGGTCAAAGAAGGGCATGTGCCACACTGTGAAAAGCTGGAACATCTGCAGTATCTCTAGCTGTAGTGGAAAAGGAACCTGCAGTGACACTCAGAACTCTGTGTTCTGTGGCAGCTGCATTTTGATGAGAATTTGATGTGATCTTAACGTATCCAGTGTGTCTCCACCTGTTAGCTTTCAGAATTGCTGTCACACTGCCACTTTGTATTATATTCACACCTATGCTATGGGAAAACAAAAGACTTAAGTAGATCTTGATAAAATGTTTCTTAAAATATCTTTTTAAACAGATCATTCAGGAATATCCTGGGTGTGCAAACAATGTTTGTGATTCTGATTCACTTTCACATTTAACAGTGTGAGCATGAGCAGTTTAGCTATGAGTGCACAAGAAGACCAATTTTGTTTTTACTTTGCCCAGAGTTGTTTTCCTGCACCAGTGAATTCAGTCTCACTTTGGATGAGAACAAAGTCACTGTGAGATACGTTCTCAAGCAGAGTAATGTTGCATTGAACATGCACTGAAATTAACAGAAATGGAACCACATAAAACCATTCCTGATGCATTGATGGGAAACTGCTGCTTAGAGTATGAGAGTCAGAGAAGTTTGTTCTTGATTTTTCTCTTAGGACCTTTCCCACCCCAGGTATGATTCTGTTCATGAGAATATCCACAGCAGAGCTTCCATGGTAGTAGTTTAAACAAAGCTGTTAGTCCTTGTTGCTAGTCCTACATCTGCAAAATGGGATTAGAATGGTAATACATCTTTGTTATGTTGAGGTTTAATTCTCAGTATTAGCAGTGTGTTCTGAAAGCTTAAGAAGAGAGATTATAAATTGGAACACATTAGCTATAGTTAAGCAAATTGTTGCTATGTATTCCTGCGAGTACTTTAAAAGTTCAACCCATCCAGAATTGGGAGTTTCTGTAGTTTTTGATATGAAAATAGAAAAATTTAGTCCTTAAATTCACTGAGGCTGCTTCTAACTTCCAGGTTTCATGTTCAGATTTTAAAGGTAGTATCAGCAACCTGTATGCAAGTCAAGAGATGGATTGTTAGCAGCTGTACGCTGATATCTGTACAGCAATGCCTAACAACAAATTTATTGAAGCACATTTTAAAAGGGCTGGAGGGAACCTGGTGGATGTTGATAGATATCTCCCAGCTCTCCAATCTCCTCTTGCCTTTCCTGCCAAAATGATGATGCTTCCCCCCTGCACGATTGCATCATTCATTCATGCTGTTGCTATAAAGCAGGCACCGCACTGCTACATCTTGCTGAGCAGCACACAGCCCCAGCCTAAGGGATACAGTTCATTGTCTATGCAAGAAAAATATGTTAAGTGTTATGGAACTGAATACACCAAATGCCAACCCCTTCCAAACTGAGAGAAAAAAAATGTTCCCAATGACTTACAGTATGGCACTGGCCGTGGCTGCTGCTGCTGCTGCAAACCTCTTGGCTGCACAAGAAAAGAACGGATCAGCTGAGACCTTCAGTCACATAAATGCAACGGCACGGGCTGATCTGGAAGAAAGCCGCATTTTGTAAATCACTCTTTATAATCTGCTGAGTAAGCCGGCCTGGATGTTTTTTTTAAATGGTTGCACACATGTAACCAGAGAAGTCCAGCTGTTCGCTGACAGGCGTAGGGAAGAGGTGTAACCTTGCCTGCGTTGGGGGAGGAGCCGCTCGGGCCCAGTTCGGGGCACTCCCAGCATGGGTAGGCATGGCTTGGCAGGGAGCAGGCAGCGCACAACGTGATGGGGAGCTGACTTGCTGCCAGCCCGTGCTCAAAGCAAGGCAGGTCTGAGCAAACACACGTACCTCCGCAGAGCAGGACGAGGGATGAGAGCCGAGGAGGGGCTCTGCCAGCCGGCGGTCAGGAGTTTCTCTTGGCGTGCAGAGGCGAGGGATACAGCTTTCTTTCACTGCAGATGAAAGATGCATTAAAATGGCAATATTGCATTTAAGTTGTTAATCGACAGCAAACCAGAGTGTGCGTTATTACATACACAAAAAAAATCTGAAATCAAAATTCATCATGAGTTTTGAAGGCAAATTTAAATCTGCTTTGTAAGAAGGCTCTGTTTTGTTTACCCAGATAAAATGTTGTCAAAGGCAATTGAAAAACTGCACAACCTGTCTGTGCGTGTGTTTTGGCATCATGCAGAAGGGCTTTCTGCAAACATGGCTGTGGGCACCAGTTAGCAAACAAGACGCTGCCAAGCCACAAGTATGAAGCCAGTCACTTGTTTCAAGGTCAAGAAAGCCAGACTGCTGATTTAGCTGCTTTTATTTGTTTGTGATAGGAGTCTTATGACTGCTACCCATCTGGAAAGATTGTTCTGCACCGCTGGATACACCGGTCACTTTCTATGCATGATCTATTTTGCAATTCTGGCATTATTTTCCTCAATCTTATGAGCATGAACTGAATCAATACCCCCTTCCTGTGCTTCTGCACCCATGCCTTCCTATACGTTTTTTCAGATGTTCTTAGTTCTTGTATGAACATTTGTCAATGTAAGCATCTATCAGTAACTTCTCATATCAGGATGCGCTGGTGCCAAGAGCCTTTGCTGAATACTGGTGATGTGTTTGCTGTTATGTTTGATCCTTTATGTTAGTTTTATTGTGGCAGCACAATATGTTTTAAACAGATTTAGAAATTGTTTCTGTAAATAAGGTTAAATAAAAACAGATCTTGATAAGGATGGAAGAACACTGCTTTTACTTTCTGCTAAGATAAGCAGTGTGTTATTTCACTTGTGAGAATCACCACTGGGGATTTCATGCTGGATATTCCCTCTACTTGGCTTAGTTTAACAGAGCTGTTGGATTTAATTCACTTAAATATCATGTTAACAATTCTAAACTGGTGTAATTTGTTGCTGCTCCAGTGATTCCAAAGGACGATTTAGGCCTTGTAAGCCTCTGCCCTGCATTTTTGCTATGCATTAAAAGCAAGTAAGTAGAACAGTTCAACAGCCACAATGAAAAGACTGAAAAGTGAATAAAAGCTTGTAGTGATTTCTGAAACATGCAGCAAAGTGGGCATTTGCTGTGAAAATGCTAATGAGAAATGTTATTATACTGTAACATAAATTACCTGCAGACGTGACCCAGGAAAGAACCACAGAAATATCTGCCTGGATGCATGGAGAGGATGCTTAGGAGTTAACAGCATGGCTTATATGGATTCAGCACATAAGTTTTGTATATGACTATGGAACCTCTCCATCTGTTCAAAACGTGGAGACCATGAATCTGAAGTGTCAGCAGCCAGCCCTACACATTGCAGGAGTGTAGGATGGAAGATTCCTGCTTTCCACAGGACATCACCCATGCAGGTTAGAGAACAGCAACTGGGAAAACATAAAATACACCGTGCCTGCTGCTCTGCCTATGGGTTTGACAAGGCTGCCCTCTATTGAGAACAGCCTGGAGAAAGGATTGAAGCAGAAAAAAAAATTACAAACCAGAGAAGAAAGAATAGCAAAATGTTTGTGTGTTGAGTGTGTGCTCTGGAAACTGGAGTAGTGCTGGGAATTCAGGTGTTCTAAGTGGGCACTGAGGCTATGCACCCTAAATATCAGCACTGCAGCCTCTCAGGGCTGGGTGGTTTTGTTTTTGCTTTCAGCAGGCTGGTAGCACCCCGGCAAAAGTGAAGAATAAACATTAACAGGAGAATTCCGGAGCCCAGTTATGAAATACCAAGTGTAATTTCCTGCATTTTGCAATGTTTGATGTTTATTTTTAATGATTACAGCAGCAGAAAAAAAAAAGAAAAAGAAAAAGAAAAAAAAAGAAGAAGAAAAAATAGAGAAAGAAAGAGAGAGAAAGAAAGAGAGAGAAAGAAAGGAAGAAAGGAAGAAAGAAAAGCAGCCTCCATCCTCAAGAGTTAGCATTAAAATATTTCACAAGAGGTGCACCCTGCTCTGCCAACCAAAAAGGCTCCAGACTTGCAGTATATGGTGCTCAAACATCAACTCTATCTAAAACATGTAAAAATCAGAAACCCAAGCATACTAGCAGCTGTCCCCTCCAGACCTGCCAGTCAGAATGATGGGCCATGCATGGCGTTTTGCCCAGAAACCTGAGATCCTCACCCAAAACAGCAGAGCAGGTTACCAGCAGGTGCCATACCCTACTGCCAACATCAGCAGGGCTGGTGAGCCTGCCCTTACACTTGACCCTCACTGAGCATTTCAGTGAAGTTCTTCCAAAACTGTACGAATTGGGTACAAAATCATACCCAACAATTAGGGTTTACTACTCGTAGCTTGGAGTTTGCTACCTTAGCTTAGTGTTCACTACTGGAAGCAGCACGGAAACACCAATGGCCCATTGCATTTCTTAGCATCAATGCAGTGGATTGCAGAACCTCTGCATCCCGAGCTGCCAACTGTGGGAAGATGTGTGGGGAATTATTCTGTGCTATCCATTATTTTGGGGGCAGGCACTTTCCTTACAAAATGAAGTAAGAATTGCATCAGGCCTGGTATTGTCAGCCACCCCAGGTGCACAGGCAGGTGTGTGGGGGCATAGGGCTGGATGGGGCAACACGGTGCAATCTGTGGTGTGTGTAAGGAGCCTGGCAGCAGCTCTCAAGTACAACTATCCATCTTGTGCTTTCAGGGAGCTCGAAGCTGTTATGATGTGTACACTGTGCAACCTCAAGGACTGGCCCTGTAAGTTAAACGCTTCCAGCATTCTCCCTTAACTTTAATGGTGTCTTTTACTTCCACAGGTCTCAGCATTGCCTGAGGAGAGCTTTCCCCCCTTATTAAAGACTTGCAGAGTGTTCAGAGCCTTGGAAGGTCCGTGGGGCTGTGCTGTGGTGGCTGCCAGGGTGCTGGGCTGAGGGAGCTGCTGCCTTGTTAGGTAAGATGAGTTCTGATTAACCTCAGTTCTGGATTTTGACCAAGAACCACTTCGATTATTAATCCATCCCGCTTAACTATTAATTCTATCAACCTAAGTTTAAATTGGCGTGTTTAATTATTGATTCCTACGGTTCTGTGAACATGGCTAGGATACCTGTCACATGAGACAGGCGGTTCAGAGTCATGGAGATGTGGCACTGAGGGCTGTGGGCACGGTGGGCTGGGCTTGGGGGTCTGAGATCCAATCTAAATGATTCCATGATTCTATGAGTGCGTGGGATAAGAATGACCAAGGATCTCAGCCCGTTCAAAAGCCTCGTTCACACATGCATCCCCTCGCTGTAAGGACAGAGCCGAGCCCTGATTGCAGCTCCCCCATGCGCGCCCGCCTCCCAACCGTCGCCTCCCGGCAGCCCCTCAGCGAGAGGGCGGGAGCTTCCGGGCAGAGCGACAGACCGCTCAGCCAATGGCGCTGCGTTTTGGCGGCCTACAGGCCAATGGAAACGCGCGCCCTCCGGAGTGTTCTAGAAGGGGCGGGCGGGGAGGCGCGGCTCGCTTCGTTCCCGCCCCATCCCGGCCCGGCCCGGCCTAGCGTGCAGCGGCAGCCATGGCGGTGAAGGCCCTCAACCCCAAAGCCGAGGTGGCTCGCGCCCAGGCCGCCCTGGCGGTGAACATTAGCGCGGCCCGAGGGCTGCAGGACGTGCTGCGGACCAACCTGGGCCCTAAGGGCACCATGAAGATGTGAGGAACCTCCGCGCGGCTCCCTCAGAGGGTGGGCCGGGCCTTCCCGCCATGCGCCTCAGTGCGCGGGCGGCCGTTGGGGCTGAGGGGAGAGCGGGACCGCGCGGCGGGGAGCGGAGGGCGGGTGGGGGACGGGGGGTGGGGTTGGGGCCGGGAAGGGCCCTTCGGAGGCCCGCTCACCCGCTTCGTGCCGCCCGCAGGCTGGTGTCGGGGGCCGGAGACATCAAGCTGACCAAAGATGGCAACGTGCTGCTGCAGGAAATGGTGAGCTGGGGGAGGAGGGGGGGTCGGGGGGTGCGGAACCTGCTTGTGGACGTCCTTGTGAGGGGCTGTGGGGGTTGGGGGCCGGCTGCCTTTGTGTGGGATTTAGCACTGTGTGTGTGGTGGCAGGTTAGGCTGAATTGGCTGCTCTATGGGGAGCCTGTTCTGTGCCCACCGCCCTGGTGAGGAATCTCCTAACACCCTTCCCAGCACAGCTCCCTGCCATTCTCTGAGGTACTGTCGCTGTTTGGGTCCCCAGGGGAAAAAAAAAAAAAAAAGACAGTATTATATAGATTAGCTCAAGAAATTTACTGTCAGAGTCTACATTTCTTTTGTTGTTGAGTGGGATTATGTGTTGAAACCAGCCTAACTGCCAGGAATCGTGGAAACCATCATCTATTCATTAAAAACCTTGGTTAGTTGATTTTAGATTACTTGCTACCTGTACCAGTGCAGTAAGGCTCACTATTCAGTTTCTTATTTTTGTTTAGCAAATACAACACCCCACAGCTTCCTTGATAGCAAAAGTAGCAACAGCACAGGATGACATCACTGGAGATGGTACCACCTCAAATGTCTTAATCATTGGAGAGCTGCTGAAGCAGGCAGATCTCTATATTTCTGAGGTATGTGTGCAGCATTTCTTTTGTAGATGGGCAAGTAAAAAAGCTTCATCTGAGACTGTTCAGCTTTCTTTTTTTGTTGTGTGTTTGGTGCTCAAAAACATGGAAATCAAATACCTCTTTCTGCTTAAAATGAGTATGTCACAGAACTTATAAAATGGAGAAAAGCTAAAGAGGACATAACGCTTGTTCTCCTTATTTATACTGTAGCTTTTAATAATGTGCCTGATTCATGCTGTTTTGTTTGAATGAAAACATTTCTTATCTGCGTGCTAATGAGGAAATGCTCTGTGATAATAGATGTTTTGGTAGTATAAGTTGGAGATTAGGCATTCATATTGCACAGTGAACACCCAAGTGTGCTTCATAGTTCCCTTGGTTTTAATTCTGTGCTAGAATAATCTGTGCTTTTCCTCTGCATTGGAAGGATTGGTATTCCTTTTATATGTATTCAGAAGGACAGTACATTTTCTTATCACTGTAGCATGTATGCTCTCTGTTCCACTTACAGGGAAAACACTATTTTATCTTACTGTTGTCTGATTATGTCCCTTCTTTTCTTGCATTAGGGCTTGCACCCTAGAATAGTAGCAGAAGGATTTGAGATCGCAAAGGAAAAGGCACTTGAAGTCTTGGAGCAGGTCAAAGTAACCAAGGAAATGGACAGGGAGACCCTTATAGATGTTGCCAAAACGTCCCTTCGTACTAAAGTTCATACTGAACTTGCTGACATCTTAACAGAGGCAAGTGTCCATGTATCTTCATCCCCTTTTTGTGTGTTGTGCTCCAGGTTTTAAGCTAATGGGGTTATTTCTTAGGCAGAGAGTGGGTAGAAAGATGTGAGTTTGCACTTTAGAGTCTGATGGCCCTTTTGGGGATTTCCCCCCCACTCCTCTATTTCAGGCTGTAGTAGATTCTGTTTTGGCGGTCAGAAAACCAGGTGAACCTATTGACCTTCATATGGTAGAGATCATGGAGATGAAGCATAAATCAGAAACTGACACCACGTAAGTAATGGGGATCCTCAAGCTTCAGTTTAATGGTATCTTGATAGTGGAGTAGCCTTGGTTGATTTTTTGTGTGTGTGTTTGGGGTTTTGTGCTGTGGTTGTTTTTTTTTTCTTTTGAAAGAACTTGGGGTCTCAGAGCTGCTGTTGGAAAAATCATTAGGGAGGGAGTGAAAGAAAGGCAGAAATACAAGTTTTGGCCATGAGTGGTCTCGACAGCATAAGTTTCCCAGTCACTGAACTTAACATCCTGACAAGATTTTTGAATAGCATAGAGTAACACTGGCTCCGACTTTTGCTTTGCTGTGGATGGACACGGTTGTTTGCTTTATAACCATGTGTTAGTGGTAGTGTCTGTGACTTGAGTATGCTTCATGTTTTCAACTTCTGTGAGACAGTAGTGATCAGTACCTGGAAACTGGATTGCAGCTGTCTCTTTGGGTGTTCTTCATGTCCAATGGCATGGACGAATTCTGCGCTAGCTTTCTTCAGTAGCTATTGCAGTCAGACACTATGCCAGAATAAATTCCCATTTTATACTCTGGCATGCTTTTTATATGTGAGTTGGCATGCCCTTAGAAGTGGGATACAAGATCATTCTTTGCTTCAAATACAAATTCACAGGCAGTTCATACTAGACTGATTACACTGTCAGTTATCTCGAGCAGTGTGTACTTCCATTAAGTACTTATCTCTGACCATCTTGACACACAAAATGCTCATTGATCTTTCAGGCTGATCAGGGGGCTGGTTTTGGATCATGGTGCTCGCCATCCTGACATGAAGAAAAGGGTGGAAGATGCCTATATTCTTACTTGCAACGTATCTTTAGAATATGAGAAAACGTGAGTACACAGCACCAGCATGTCAGACACATGTATTTTCTGTTCTTTAGTTCCTGTAAGGTGTGCTTAAACAAGTACCAGAAGGGCCACACAGATGCTCTTCTGGAGCGTGGCAGATAGTGTAGAAGTTGGGGTGGAAAAGGTGGAGCTTCCCTTTTCCAGAAAATGGAAGCAGAGGAAATTAGTAACTGAAATAAAATCTGCGTATTAATTTTCAGAATGTTACTGAAAGGATTCCTTCTTCCTTGAACTGCTTATTTCTACAACACAGAGGACAGCTAACTTTTACTGCTTTTTTTTTTCTCTCCAGAGAGGTGAGCGCTGGGTTCTTCTACAAAAGTGCAGAAGAGAGAGAGAAACTAGTGAAAGCAGAAAGGAAGTTCATTGAAGACAGAGTGAGCAAAATCATAGACTTGAAAAGAAGAGTTTGTGGTGATTCAGATAAAGGATTTATTGTGATTAACCAGAAGGTGAGATAAAGAATATAACTAAGTTGGAAAAATAACCAGAAATGTTGGCTTTCTTGGCAAGCTTGGTGCTGCTTGACTCATTTAGTACAGTGCTTTGGATGCAAATAACTAAATTGAGGTTGATGAACTTACGCTTATACATGTGCAGTTCCTTCCTGAGATTTCTTTGAGTCCTGAGGAAGAACTTATTAGTGTCAACCTGAGGGGGGATTTGTTTCTTTGTTTTCTTATCTTGATAGTCCCTTTCTTTATTGCTAGGGAATTGACCCATTTTCCTTGGACGCACTTGCAAAAGAAGGAATTGTTGCTTTGCGCAGAGCTAAAAGGAGGAACATGGAAAGGTATGCTTCTAGGAAGAGAAGGGGTAAATGGCTTGCTCTCCCAGACTGCACAGTGAGTCGCATCTGGCTGGAATCAGCTTTTAAAGGCTGTCAGCAAATAGTCATCTTCAGTCTAAATGTTACTCGAGTAACTCAGTGTATTTTATACAAACTGTGAAGTAGGCAGTTCAGTACAAGGAGTGACGTAGGAGTTGAAGCTGTCTGTGCTCCAAGAGTAGATGCCTCTTCTGGTGAGGCTTAATTCTGTAGGTTTTTGTTTGTTTGTTTTAGTGAAGAGCTCTCTTATAAAAAGAAACAAAACTGTTGCAAGCCCAGGACCTATATTTTTTTGAATGCTGAAATACTGCGGTTTGTGTTGGTGACTTCACATTTTACTTAATATAAGAGAACTGCTAAGCACTAAACGAACTCTTTCAGACTGACCCTTGCGTGTGGTGGTACTGCTATGAACTCTGTGGAGGATCTCACTCCTGACTGTCTGGGACATGCAGGTCTTGTCTACGAGTACACACTGGTGAGTACAGCTAGGCTTTTAGTTGAAGCCAAGCTAAATGTTTCTGGTATTGCTTGGCCCCAAGTTTTCTTTTGTACTGATGTGACCGTGCATGGTGTTTCCTTGCAGTACAGCTCTTAGAATAAGCAGTATGAATAAATGCTGATGGGATTTTAAACCCTACTGTCCCTCTTTATATTTGCTCTTGTCACATTGCTTATTGCAACTGATAGATCCATATTTTAATATCACAAAGTTAAGAACATGAGAATAAGATTCTGCTAGTTTCTTTCTACTAGACTTTTTCTCATCACTTCTTGAGATGTTACTCAGAACTGAATCTGAAAGTGCCCAGTTTTTTTGTTTGCTTAAAATATGTAAGGTGAATACCTAATACTGTTTATAGGGAGAAGAGAAGTACACCTTCATTGAGAAGTGTGACAACCCTCGCTCTGTTACCCTGTTGATCAGGGGACCGAATAAGCATACACTTACACAGATAAAGGATGCAGTAAGAGATGGTCTGCGTGCTGTTAAAAATGCTATTGAGGATGGTAAGTCTCAGCTACTACTCTCCTCAAAACTGTTGAGTGCTGTTGAGTGTTGTATAAGTTAGCTCTTTAGATTGGAGTAAGTTCTTATTGTGAAGTCTCAATATTACTGCTTTGCCTTGTAGGGTGTGTGATTCCAGGGGCAGGTGCACTGGAAGTGGCAGTAGCTAATGCTCTTGTTAAGCATAAACCCAGTGTAAAAGGAAGAGCCCAGCTTGGAGTTCAAGCTTTTGCTGATGCTCTCCTCATCATTCCTAAGGTATGATGACCTCCAGAATAAAGTTACTCTAAAGCACGCTAGGATCCTTAGCATTTTCTGCAGGAGATCTCTTTACATTAATGTGAAGTAATGTTCTTGTCTCAAAGGTTCTCGCTCAGAACTCTGGTTACGATCCCCAGGAAACACTGGTGAAAGTTCAGGCAGAACACGCAGAATCTGGGCAGCTCATTGGAGTTGACTTGAACACTGGTAAGAGTTTAAAACCATGGAATCTCATAAGATCAGATTGGCAGTAAATACAGAGCAGCAAAACAATTCTGCTGAGAGAGGAGTGTTTCTAGGAGGCCAAACGTATCATGGATCAGGTTTTCATGGAACGAGGCAATACAGAATGCCTTGGCAGGTGTGCTACTACTTGTAATGCTTAAATGCACCATGTGCACTCTGTACACAGCAAGTAATTTGAGTTGTTAAGCAGCAGGATCTCTTCCCTTGAATTATGCAGACTGGTTGTTTAAACAGTGTTGTGCCTCTTTCCTAGGTGAGCCAATGGTAGCTGCAGCAGCTGGAATCTGGGACAATTACAATGTCAAAAAGCAACTACTTCATTCGTGGTAAGTGCTGTGGTGTTTTCACTTCAAATAGTAATGGGTGTTTGGTTGACAAGATTGGTGACATAATGTGGGTGGAATGAAGGAATCTCTATTAGAGGAAGCTGTCTTGCAGTGTAGGAATAAAGCTGAGTTGTTTGTGCCAAAACAAACATTCTAATTATTTATTTACTATTTCCAGCACGGTGATTGCTAGCAACATTCTCTTGGTGGATGAAATTATGCGAGCTGGAATGTCATCTCTGAAAGGCTGAATTGGATCTGCTGTTGGTGGTGGTGGTCAGCTCCAGTAGTGCTCTCTGGAATGCCTTCAAGAAGTCCACCTGAAAGTGCTTTTTTGAGCCACGGTGGATTCTCCCAGCAATGGAAGTCACTGCTGTAACTAGCAGCACCTCTTTGGTAAATGCGGCCACTGAAAATATTAGCAACTATGGAAATATTTGGTTCTAAAAAAGCAGTTATTTATTTTTAATTTCTCTGAAGTGTACAACTGAAGTTGCTGTCCTTTTTACCCAATAAACTGTTATGTTCTGTGCTTTCTGTGTCTGTTATTGAATACCTAACATTCTGTGGACCAAAGTCTTGAACTTTGTTCAGCACTTTGAAGACAGTGCTGGGCTATGGGCTTGGATTTGTGTTTTCTGCTTGCTGGCTCTGCATTTGGAATTTGTGATTGATTCCAGTTCTTGAGAGTACCCCAAGAAAGTCCTGCTCAGGACACTGCTTCTGGAATGCTGGAGTTTGTGTGGAATTAGTGCAGAGCATCTCGTACAGGTGGATTATGCCAATAATTTGTTTTTCTCTTGCTTACAAATACTCGGGGAAGATTTGAAATGTGTTGCGTGTTCTCTTCCTTGCCATAGGTGGTGGCTTAATGCTTTCTGCTGTGTGTAAGTAAGGCTGTGGACACCACAGGAGATGTAGGCAGAGTGCTGTGTCCAGACAAAGCCTAGCAAGCAGGGAGTTGAATGTGTGCAGCACGAGCAGGTTCCTGCTGTCCTACGTGATTTTTGTGTAATCCTCATCTTGTTCACATTATCAGGCTGGGGAGTCAGAATGTTTATCTCGCTTATACTTACCCAGTATGAGGAAAGGAGATGCTGGGTTGTGAGGGGATGAATACAGGATGGACACAAGTGCTGAAATCCCTGCAGCACCTTGCAACGTTAGTGTAGGGCTGGATGTCCAGGTCCTGCGGTGCTAACGGGGAGCAGTGTTGTTCTGGGTGCAGGATGGGAGCAGTCAGAACTGCTGCCCTGGAGCTGGGGCTGAGAAAGGGAGTGACCCCCAGGGTAGGTAGATCCCCTGCAGTCCTACAGCAGGGCTGAGGGCGGTTCGTTTGCTTCCTTTCCGTACTCTGTATCAGCTTTGTTTTATGTCCGGGCTGCATGACTGGAGCGAGCAACCTTTTTAAAACTTCAGGTGCGCACATAAAGCACATCTGGTGGTGTGGCTTTGTCAGTAGCCCGGGTTATAGGAGGTTTTTCATACGTGGAGGTGAAATATCAACGTTTACATGCAATGTAAAGTATCCCTTTTCTTTAAAAAGAAAAAGCGTACGTGCCATAATTGTAAAGCACGTGCAATAGGCGTGGCGTGGGGGAAGTGCATCCCTTCCCCCCGGAAACACTTGTCCAGCCTGAAGCTCTTCTGGGTCAGAGCCGTCCGGTTCCGCTGCTGATGCGTTTTGCTGCTGGCGCTGCTGAGCTTTGTTCCCAGGGAGATGCACAGAGCGGCGCTGCTTTGCTGCTGCGTGCTGGGCTGCAGCTGTGCTCTGCTGGGTGAGCTGAGAGCGCTGCTGCTTCAGCTCGCACCGCTGCCTGGCTTCCTGCACCCCCCTGTGGAAGCAGAACTCTATAAATGCTAACTGCAGTCGCTTGTTACATTGCAGTGTGAATCCAGCATATGAAGTGGCTTTTTTGCAAATTAAGAATGCTGTGTTGTGCATTTAGGTTTACCCACTAATGTTTGTACTGACTGCTTTACTTTCAGCATTTGGAAACGATGAGCACATGGTGCAGCTGCCCGGGGGGAAGTTCCAGATGGGCTCCAGCTCCATGCAGAGCAGAGATGAGGAGGGGCCCATCCGGGAGGTGACAGTGAAGCCCTTCGCTATTGACAAGTTCCCTGTTACCAACAGGGACTTCAGGTGAGCTGCTGTCATGGGGCTGCTGGTGCAGCTCTTGGAGAACTCTGCCACGGGTGCCTGAGCGCGTTGTGTTTGTGCCAGGGAGTTTGTTAGAGAAAAGAAATACAAAACTGAAGCAGAAGCGTTTGGCTGGAGCTTTGTCTTTGAGGATTTCGTATCAGAAGAGCTGAAAAAAAAAGTCACCCAAAAACTAGAGGTAAATCTGAAGCCTGGAGGGAGATCAAGAGGATTCAGTAGGTGGGTGACATCGTGGGGACAGCTCAGTGATGGGGGAAGTGGTGATTGCCCAGGGAGTGTAGAGTCCCCATCCCTGGAGATGTTCCAGAACCATGGAGATGTGGCACTGAGGGATGTGGTCAGTGGGCATGGTGGGGTGGGCTTGGGGGATCTGAGAGGTCTTTTCCAACCTTAATCATTCTGTGATTCATAATAACCCAGATCAAACAGTTTCCAAACTAACACATCTTCCTCTTTCCATGTGCTGTTGTAGGATGACTGAAGGGTATTTGGGGAGGGGAACAGTACAGCTTTAATCCAGTGTCGCTTCTTTTCCCAGTCTGCTCCTTGGTGGCTGCCAGTTGAGAAAGCTTTTTGGCGACAGGTAGGTGTGAATCAGGCATGGTGGTGAGTTCTTTCCTAAGACCAAGGGGAAGGTAGCACCTCTGGTTCCTCTGTGCAGGCTCCCCACCTTGCTCTATTCTATCCTTTCTCTCTTTTTGATGATTAATGAAACTGATGAAGATCACTGCGATTTACAGCCTGCAGGTCCTGGCTCTGGCATCGCAGACAGACTGGACCACCCAGTGCTGCACGTGAGCTGGAACGACGCGCAGGCATTCTGCAGTTGGAAGGGGAAGAGGCTCCCATCTGAGGAGGAGTGGGAGTTTGCTGCCCGGGGAGGGCTGGAGCGTATGTAGGCACCCCCTCCCTGCCCATAGTGGCTTTCTATCATAGAATATCCTGAGTTGGCAGGAACCATAAGGATCATTGAGTCCAGCTCCTATCTGTCCCTTTGAGCTTCCTCAGCCTCCATATAGAGATGTTTCCAGGGGTTGACCCAAGGGCTGAATAACTTCTTTAATCCTGGAAATAAATGGGATAAACAGTAGCTTAATGTGCTTCCCTCAGCAAAGCACTAAATTCCATTTGGTGGGTGTGTGGGAGCATCCCAAGCTGTGCAGAAAACAGCAGCCACAACAAATGAGAGGATCCTTGGATAACTGCTCTCTTCTTCTTCAACAGAAAGGCTGTATCCCTGGGGAAACAAGTTCCAGCCAAACCGGACCAACCTGTGGCAGGTGAGCTCACACCAGCTGTCCTGGTGCAGTGGTCGGCTTGGGTGCATAGGACTTGGTTGTGAGGTTCTGGAGAGCTCCTGGGGGTTGTCCACAGTGTTTCAAGGGAGCAGACAGAGCCCAGTGCCCCTGGGAGACTGGGATTTCACTTCTCCCAAAAAGTCACACTTTTTTTGCAAAGATGATTATTTTTCCCTTAGGACAGCTTGAGATGGTTGATCTCCTCTCTTGGACACAAATGCAGTGTGCCAAGTTAATCTGCAGTGAAGAGTTATTTCCATTGTTTAAGTGTAGTTAGGCATATATATATATATATATATATATGTTGTTTGGGGTTTTTTTGTAAGAAGCAGGACTTTTCTTCTCTGCAGTGGGTCTTTGCTTAATGTCATCTTTCCTCATCCAGGGTGACTTCCCAAAGGGGGACAGAGCTGAGGATGGCTATCACGGTGTGTCCCCGGTGGCAGCATTCTCACCTCAGAACAGTTATGGTACGGAAAGACATCACTGCCCAGCTCTTTGGGTACAATCTACTCACCATTCAACGCTAATTATAAACTCTGTAGTTGTAGCAGAGTTTCAAATGTGAAATGGGATCTCATCAGCATCTTGATAGTGTGAGTGAGCCCAGTGAAAGTGTTGTTACTGCAGCTGATGTACAGCTGGAGCACTTAACTGTAACATCCCATGCCCATTAGCAAGTAGTTATTCTGCAATTCCATGTGATTTGTTTGAAAATCCCAGACGTGCTGGAGGGGCAGCAAATGCCATTCCCTCCTGTAGGTGGAAAATGGTGAGGACATTTAAGATAAGACAGTTGTTGAAGGTCCAGCTGCTGCTAGAGGCTGGTTAGCAGTACAGCGAGGAGCTTCTTGTTCTGCAGGAATCTTTCTGGGATGTTAAAGCCCCATCTCCCCATGCACAGAAGTGTTTTTGCAACCCCATAATCCTAATGTGTGTAGATGTGGCACTGAGGGATGTGGCCAATGGGCATGATGGGGTGGAGTGGAGTTGGACTTCATGATCTTAGAGATCTTCAACAGTAACGATTCTGTGGTAACTTTCTGTCTCAGGAATCTATGACCTGCTGGGGAACACCTGGGAGTGGACGGCCTCACAGTACAAACCACCAGGCCCTCCCCAGCCACATGCTGAGGCGATGCGTGTGCTGAGAGGAGCCTCATGGATTGACACTGTGGATGGGTCTGCAAACCACCGGGCTTGCATCACTACCAGGTCAGTGCCAGTACTGCTTGTGGTTTCTCCTTGAGCTGTATAAGAAGGGGTTACTTTGTTTGGCTGTTCCTATCTAGATTTGTTGAGAAGCATTTAGGAAAACACTCTACAGATACTGCTAAAAATTCTAATGCTATAAATTCAGTCCTAATTGCTTTTCACATAATTTGTTTTCCATCAAGTACTTATAATTAAATACCTTTCTAAAACTTAGGTAAGTGGGAGCATGTTAGACAGGGTCACATTCATCAGTCTGAGCACTAACCATGCAGGATTCCTAACTGGGTATCTTTCCCAGGATGGGGAACACACCAGACTCAGCCTCTGACAACCTCAGCTTTCGCTGTGCTGCCAGCATCCCGAGTCGCACCACTAAGAGCAGCAGAACCAAACCTGAGCTCTGAGGAAGGCTCCTGGCACAACCTGAGGATAGTTTCTCCTGTGGAGATGGACAGTAATCCCCAGAAACCATTTTCATTAAACCAGTGAAGTTTAAAAAAAAAAAATTAATACTTTTGGCCTAAAACTCATTTCTGCGTGTCTGGGTGCTGAGCAGCGATTGCAGGCAACAGGCATTTTGTCTCTAATGGCCCACGGCTGCTGCAGACATTGTGTCTTATTCTGGTGTGTCTGCAGCAATCAGAGGGCTGTTTGTGTGAGTCCAACTCCAAATCTGATGGCACAGGAGCTCTGGGCACAGCGCGTTGAAGACAGTCTGCCAGGCACTGCTCACCTCCTAAGTCCAGCAGAGAGGCTGTGGATGCCCCGTCCATCCCTGGAGGTGTTCAAGGCCAGGTTGGATGGGGCCCTGGGCAGCCTGGTCTAGTATTAAATGGGGAGGTTGGTGACCCTGCATGTGGCAGGGGGGTGGGAGATTCATGATCCTTGAGGTCCCTTACAACCCAAGCCATTCTGTGATCTGCTGCTCTACTGGAGGCAACTACTCCAAAGCAGACCTTTAGAGCAAGTCAGGAGAAGACCCAAACTGGGTTATACCCAGCATGCATGACAGCCATCTGCACCTAGCTTGAGGCCAGCAGGTTTTAAGAAAAAGCACCAAAAATCACTGGTTTGGTTTGGAAATATTTTACTTGCCTTAACTCTGAGCAAACCCAACTCAAGCAGCAGCGATGCCGCCATCAAAACAGCTCTTCCTCGGCCGCCAGGGCGAGCAGAACAGCCTTGCAGGTGTTCTCGAAGAGCGCAGCCCTGTTCTGCGCCTCGCCCTTCTTCACCCAGTGCCGGTAGGTGCGGAAGGCGCAGGCGTCGATCAACTTGCGGATGGGCTTCAGCGCGTACGGGTCCCGCACCACCAGCTCCCGCGTCACCGCCTTCAGCATGCGGTACTGGTAGTAAATGCGGACGGACGCCAGCACGGTCAGACAGATCACCTGCGGGGAAAGGGGGAAGTTGGGCCCCTGTCTCACCACTAAGCCCTGTCCCCAAGCACCACGGCTGCGTGTTGCTGAACCACCTCCAGGGATGGGAGCTCAACCGCTTTCCTGGGCCGTCTGTTCCCATGCTTCACAATCTTCCCTCTGAAGAAGTCTTTCCTAATTATCCAACCTAAACCTTCCCTGGTGCAACTTGAGGCTGTTTTCCTCTTGCTCTATTGCTTGTTGCTTGGGAAAAGAGACTCCCTCCTCCCCCCTCCCCATACACACACATGCTATGCTCTCCTTTCAGGCTGTATATGCATAAAAATAATGGTGTTTACTTGTAGATCAGTAAACTATGCTTGTAAGTGTTCCATCTACCATGAACTACATAAAAATATCACAAAGTAGTGCTTGAAGAGGTGTCCCCACCCTGGTGCTGCATCCTGCCAAAGCCCAGCTTCATCAACCCTCCTGAACACCATTTCTTCCTACCCAGCCAGAACACCCATCCCACGTTCTCCTCCAGGGTTCAGGGTGCCAAGGTGTCCCTGTTCCCAGCACCAACCTCACCTTGAATTTCCGGAAGGGGCTGAAGTGTCGGACCTCCTCCACGTCGTACTGCTGGAAGAAGGGGTGTGCCAGTGCCTCCCTCGCCGTGTACCGCTGCTGTGGGTCCACCACCAGGAATCGGGAGATCTGTAGGACAGCACCAGATTGATCCCATGGCGTCCCTGCCACCTGCTCCCCACTGTATTTCCCCATTCCTCAGCACCCACCAGGTCCTTGACGGTGTCAGAGCGATCATCCCACTCTGGGGAGCCAAACTGGTAGTCCCCATTCATGATCATCCGCAGCATCAGCATCTGCTTGCGGTGCCAGAAGGGAGGTGAGCCAGCCAGCAGTGTGTACATGATCACCCCGGTGCTCCACCTGCAGGGACCCAGCGGGACACACCAGCTCCAGCAGCACCCAAAGGATCCATATCCCCCACCTGGAGGCAATGGGGTGCAGGGGCCAGCCTGGAACATTGGGGCTTAGGCTCCAGCAGCTCCATGGGGATATGGGTGCATCCAGGGGCTGCTGCTCACCAGGACAGCCCCCTGCAGCCCTATGGAACATTTTTTTGTGCATTATTCAATTCCTCACAGACCCTAAAGCTGGTCCCAATGAGGAGCAATTCCTGCAGTGCCTCAAACCACGCTCATTTTGCAAGCACCCCAAGGACTGAGGGCACCTCACTCACATGTCCACTTCTTTCCCATAGCCCTCGTGCTCATCATCCATGGAGCAATGCAGGATTTCGGGGGCCAGGTAGCCAGGTGTGCCGCAGATTTCTGCAAAACAGGGGCAGAGCATCCCCTTAAGGACCCAGGGAAGACTGTGCCACGCTGAAGCAGCTTGTCCTAGTGAGGCAACAAGATGTGTTCAGATCCTTGCAGTGATGGTCATGGCAGGGAGCGACCACACCTTGTGTGCACCTGGCTGCTGACTTAAGTTGGTGAGTTATAATGAATTATAACGTGAGTGAGGAGAACGGGGAGGATGCTGCTGGAAGGAGATGCCTGTTGTTGATTACGTTGCTCTTTGCAGGACAGGAGGAGGAAAAACTTGATGAATAGAGTAATGAGGGTCAACTGAGGACAAAAAGTGGATAAAACACTGCAGTGTTTTCATCATGGGAAGGAGCGAGGCTGGAGGGGGCTGCACCAGCTCACCATGGGCATCATGTTAGTGCTGTGCACCCACCTTTGAGCTTCTCATTCTCATGCAGCTGGCAGGAGAAGCCAAAGTCTGTCAGCTTAATGTTCATGTCATCATCCAGGAGGATGTTCTCCGGCTTCAGGTCGCGGTGCACGATGTCAATGGAGTGCAGGTACTCGATCACTTCCAGCAGCGCATGCATGATCTTCCTGGGGAGGGGAGACAGCATTACTCCTAGTGCCTGCTGGCACTGTGCTTCCAGGGATGGGAACAAGGACAGGGATAGGGGCCACACAGCTCAGCCCCTGTGCAAAAGCCTCAACACCCAAGCACAGGGGCACAGCCCAGGTGGCATTTTGTTCGTATGCACTGTGTGCTGGCTGCACGGCTGTACTTGGAACTCATGCTCTGGTTTTGCAGCACAATTTCAGCCTTACCTGGTTTCCTTCTCACTTAAGGTGACCTTCTCAGTGAGGTAATCAAAAAGCTCCCCTCTTTTCATCCTGCATGCAGGAAGGAGAATCAGCCTCAAGATATGGACTGCCTAGGGGTTACTGCCCCTTAACAGCCCTACAGTACTAACTGCACAAAATGACAAGCTGACCCATTAATAAGAAAGGTTTAAAAATGCCTTGATATCTTGCAAAATATCAGGCAGGAGGAGGAAAGGCTGTGCACAGAGCAGGCAGGGACCAGTGGGTCCATCACGGTGCCACGAGTTGCAGCGTTGTGCCAGCCCTGGTCCTGCTGGGCATATAAATAACTCCAAGCTCCCACCAAAGGTTATGGGGAAACCTGAGCTGCTGCTGATTGAGGAGAGCAGAGCTGAGACTGAGTGAGCAGGCTCCTTCCTACCTGAAGCAAGACCCAGTTTTGCCTATTGGGGCCATAGAAAAAAGCTGGGGAGAGTTTGGGCTGTCTGCAAGGTGGAAATGTGGAGAAATGGAGGCAAATGGGGCTTGGGGAGCTGGTACTTACAGATCGAACACCAGGAAGAAGAAGGTGCTGGACTCATAGCTGTCCTTCAGCTGGACTGCAATGAAATGGAGCTGTGAGCTCTGTGCAGCGTGCTCCTTACCACACACCCCATGCACAGAGAGCTCCTTTCCACTAACAGACTGAATATTGCTGATCTAATTGCTAACTGAATTAACAAGCTGATCTTTGTTAGCGTTTTGATCAGGAGCTCAGGAGGGGGATGGCCAGGCAGCCTGGGCAGAGACAGAGCAGGGGATGCTCTGAGCAGGTGCCCTGCATCATGCCAGGACCATGGATCTCACAGGGCTCTGACATCCAGGGACATCACCCAAAGCCCTTCCTGGGCTCAAAGAGTAAACGTGGCAGAAACCCTCCTGCCCCAACTCACTGACGTTGGGGTGTCCCGAGACCTTCCGCAGGATGTCGATCTCCTTGGCTGTGGCCTCACGCAGCTCCTGCACCTCCTGGGGGGAGATGTTCCCTGCTGTGATGTCGATGATCTTCACGGCATACTCCTGCCTGGTGGCTTTGTGGATGCACCGGCGGACAACGCTGCTCACCCCCCTGCCAGGAACAGCACAGGAACGATGAGGTACTTCCCCATCCCCATTTGCATGACGTGCTATGGAGGATCAGGATGGAATCACTTTCCCACAACTGGGAGATGGACACAGTCATCCTTATGGGTCTGTTCCAACACAGGTTATTCTATAAACTAATAGGGATGTGGTGTGAGCTCCTGGGAGGGTCCTGAGCTGGGCAACTGTGGGTGGGTAGAGGGTTGGAACGGGATGATCTTTAAGATCCCTTCCACCCCAAACCATTCTGTGAATCTACGGGCTTCCCCCCACCCAGCACAGCCCCACAGACACACATTGGGGCTGTGGTGTTTTCCTGGCTAGGGGGACAAACTTTGAGCAGATGGGAAGCGTTTCTTCAATGCTATTTTTAACCCTGTGGTGCTGTGGGCTCTGATCATATCAGATTCCTGCTGTGATCAAGCAAAACAGTTTGGCAAAACCAAGCTTTACCTGCCCAGAACCTCCTTTGGCTCATATTTTTCATAAAACTCCTTGGATGTGTTCCAGTCTGGGAGGTCCTCCTCCTTTGTCATGGCTGGGTCCTGGCAGGTGGAACAGGGCTGGCGGGAGAACAGCTCCGATGGTCCCAAAACATCAACCCCTGTCACCACCCAGGGACCTCGCTGAGCTTCGAGATCCGCCTCTCTTCCTCCCCACCCCCCCCCGTTATTTCTGGTTCTAACGCTTCTTTCTCCCCTCTTTATTATGCAAAGTCGTCCCAGATGGCTTTTGGCTGAGAAAAAAGTAGGAGAAAATGGCACGAAAAGGGAAGGGAGAGGAGAGCTGGAGCTGCTGCCAGCGCTGCGGGGTCAGCTGGGGCCGAGGCGCGGGGCCGGGCGGGGCAGCACTCGTGGGTGCCAGCAGCGCCCAGCCAGGCTCCGAACCTCCCGAAAGGAGCACTTTGTTTTCTTCCCTTTTAAGCTGCTGCTCGCAGGCACGCTGCCAGAGCCCCAAATCTCGTCGTTGGTGGCAGCCCGAATTGGATTGCAGGGATGGGTGAGGGCCGGGGGCAAACCCGCACAGCCCGCTTTGCGTTGGGTCAGTATCGATTAACGCACGCTGTCTGTACATTTATACTGTAAAACGCAGCTGCTGGGAAACGCGCTGACCCAATTTGGGGCTCAAATCCTACACGAGCCGCGCAGAAAAAAACGCTTCTATGGGGAAGACGGGCTGGGTGTCAGTGCGCGCCGCTCCGCACCGCCCCGCAGCCCCCCGACAACGACCCGGCATCGCCTCCCCCCGGCCCGGCCTCACCTCCCCTCGGCTCCCGCAGCGCCGCCGCTCAGCCGTGCGCCATCCGCCCGCCGGGGGCCGGAAGCGGAGCGGGACGGGAGGAGGAGCGGAGGAGGGGGAGGAGCGGCGCCGAAAATAACGGCGGGGCCGCTGCGGGAGCGGGGAGCGGCGGGCTGTCCCGGGGCGGGGCGGTGCCTGCAGGGGGGGGTTGTTCTCTTTTCATCGCTTCGCTGACCAGCGCGGCGATCCGGGCTGTGCTCTTTGCGCTGCTTCTCCCGAACCACTCGGAGGTGGTATTTCTGCCCGCGTCCCTCCACGCCGGGCGGCCCCGAGCGCTAATTTTATCCGTTCGCTTCCAGGAAATGCGGAACAGAGAGGTGAGGCTCTAAGGAACAGATGGGACGCGTGACAGCAGCTCAGCAAACAACAAGAAGGTATCGTGGGGTACTTTTTAAATGAATTGTGTTACTGGGGGCTACAAGTCCCACATAAGAGTGTTTCAGCCATTTTACCTTGGAAGCGTGCAGGCACAGGTTGCTCTGTAATGCTCCACCGGGTTTTCAAGTAGAGGGATGGCATTTCTCAGCCTCTTGAAACCGAATACAGAGGCTGTAGTCAGAACTGTGATTGGATGCAGGCTGACCTGCTGCACACAGCACTGCAAAGTCAGCCATAACCTCCCTCCTCCCCACACTGTAATAAGCAGAAGTTGCCCCTAGGGTTCAGATACTCGAGGAAATGTCAGTCCTACCCCTGAGCCAAAGGATGTTCCTGGTGTGCTGCAACTCCAGCCCTGCAGGCATTTTTCATGCCAGCACACCTGGCAAGCTTGCTCAGCCTGCTAAAATCACTTCATGCCTGCTCACCTTCAAACCTCAACTCACCCAGCAGTCCAAAACCAGAGCAAGGTACCTCCAGAGAGTTTATTTGTACACCACGTCACTTGCATTCAACACAATAATTAAAGAAACAAAATAGTTAGCCCCAATCAACTCATTCCACTTTATTGATCATTTTTTTTCCATTCTGTGCTCAATTAGTTTGCAGTTGTATCACAGCTGTAGAGGCTATGGCAGAAATGAAGCCACAAAGACAACAGTGTGACTACACAAAACTAACAAGATATCAGACAGCTTTAGACTATTAGCAAAGCTTTTTCATTCATAGGTCAGTTCTTGTAAGGTGGTCTTCAGCAGCCTTGTTCCGGAGGCTTAAGCTAAACCTGTAAGATAAGAAGTTACAACAGTTAATCACACAAAGTTTTAGACCTAGAGAGGGGATGGTACCCATCCCTGCACACCCCCAGGTCAGGCTGGAGGGCACTGATGGAGCTGTGGATGTCCCTGTGCATTGTGGACAGTGGGACCAGATGGCCTTTGGGGATCCCTTCCATCTCAAACCATTCCATCATCCCTGCTATAAGGCAGACACAAGCTAAGATGTTCCTCCTCATCCCCCAGTATTTGCTGACCGGTGGTGAAGATTCAGCAGTCCAGACACCTGTGTTTGGCAGTTTCTTGTCCTCCCACATCAGCACACTTGCCTGGTACTGCTGTCTGCTTACCATTAGCAAACCTGCACTGCTTCAGCACTTCACTGAAGCCCTCGCACAGCTTGAGGTCAGTCTGGTTCTGTGCACACTCCAGGAACTGCTTCATTTCATACTGGCAAGGAGCAAACTGCTGCTGCTGCTGGTAGGCAGGCTGAGCAGCCTGGGGTTCCTGAAACAGCAGACACCTCTGTAAGCACCCCCCTGAAACTGCCATGAAGCCATACCACCCCTCTGCTGCTTTCTGTACACTTCTTTCCTGCGTTTTTGTCATAGCACACTACTTTTTAAATGCAAACCAATAGGCTGAAGTACAAAGTTTTGAGTGATGACGTGAGGCATTCTGAGCAGTTGTGCAGGTTACACACACTTAAGTAACTCTGGATAGTACCCAAGCAGGGCAACAGCACTATACTGATGTCTCAGCAGCACAAGAGGTGACTGCAGGACAAAAATCTTGCAATAGATCTTATCATTATCAGACCTGGAACATGGAAGTCCCCTGTGAAATCAAGGGTACTGAAAACAACACAGCTGTGTGCATTGCAACACGTACATATTGCATGCGTGACCCTTTGAACTACTTTAATTTGGAGACCAAGTCAAAAAAGTTGCTCTAGAATTCCCAGCTAGAACTTGTGCAGTTTTTAAGCCTGTAGCAATTACTTCAGCCTATTTGTTCTCTCCAGTTAATCCCACCTCAGCAATAAGCACCCAGCCGTGCTTTCCCTTACCTGGTAAGTAATATCAGGCCTGGCAGCCTCAGCACTGCTTCCTCCACCAAAGCCTCCGGTAAGTGCATGACCTATGGTGTGCCCCACAGCAGAGCCCACAGCGACTCCTGCTGCAGTCGTGGCCATCTGCGCCATCAGCCCGGGCTGTTTTGGGGCAGGAGCAGCCACGGCAGAGGCGGGTGCTGGCGCAGGGGCTGGCGGTGCTGCTCTCATCTGCGGCGCCCGGCTGTGAGGACACACAGAGAGAGCTCACATTCCTGCTCTAAAGGGCTGAAGCCTTCAGAGAGCAAACATCGGCAATTCCTCCCCGCGTGACCCCACGTGCAGATGGCAAGGACACGGCGACGCAGTGTTCCAGGCAGTCATTAACACACCGCAGGGGGAGGTTTGCAGCTTCTTTTTTTTTTTTTTTAAAAAGCCAACACATCCCTACCCCAATAGCACGTTATGGGCAACGAGACCCGACCTGGAAGGGGCTGCTTCCAGGCCTTCTTAGACACGACCTTAACGTGACAGGGAACCGATCCCCTCCACCCAGCAAAGCGCCCACCCCGCTCCAGAGCCCCGAGCAGCGCACGGCCCCTCTGCGCCACCCACCCCGACGCGGCTGCGAGGCCTGTGCGGCCTACACGGCCCTGGGGCGGGGACCCGAGAGAAGGGCTGGAAGGCAGAAGGCCCAGCAGCGCTCACCTGGCGGGCGGCGCCACGCGGGACGAGCGGCTGCGTCCCCCCCTCGGCATGGCGGCAAACGGGAAAGAAACCGAGAGAAAATGTAACCGCGCCGAGCCGCGCCGCTGAAGGTCAATAGGCACCCGCCAGGCGCTGCGTCACTTCCGCCGTGCGTGGTGCGTCACTTCCGCCGCAGCGAGGGGCGGGGCTTGATGTGGCCACGCCCCCATCCTTCCCGCCTGAGGCGCTGGTCCCGCTGGGTTCGATGGAGGGAATTCTGTAGACAAAACACGACGCATTTTGGGAACCTGCTGCCGGTTCTTAGCAGAGCTTTAGAAAAGCACCAACCATTTAATAAGAGTAATAAGAAAGACAAAACTCATTGCATAGCAGTACAATTAAGCACAGTCCCACAGCTCGCTGCCGTGGTGCGAAGCTGCTGCTCCCACAGCCTTAATGCATTAATTAACGCCATCAGTGCAGCACGGAACCTGTCTGGGTTTTTAGTATTGTTATTACCTAACCTACAGGCAGTAATGAAAAGGAGCCCAAATGACCAACCTGCGTGAGATTACACCTAACGAGTTCACAAACTCTCAAACAACCTCAATAGGAGGAGCCATTTGAACCACTTTATTTTCCCATTCTAACTGCCTCCCATCCTTACAACAAACACACGCACAACGTGCCGCTGCCACCCAGCGCTTATTGCCCCCGTTCATTGCAGGGCAGTTTGGGCAGACCTTTAAAGGTCCCTTCCAGCTCAAATAATTCAATGGTTCCGTGATTCTGTGGTTATGAAGTTGATGGCACAACAGAAGAAGGGCCTTGTTTGCATTATCTTCTGCTTTGCAAGGGCAGCAGCCTCATCAATCTGGTGGCTTCAACATCCTGTATACAAGGGATGTAACTTCTGGCTGTGACAGCAGCTGTATCTGATGCGGGGCATCGGGGTTCAAACAACTCTTTTTTATTAACGTTTTCTCAACTCCTTTCTGATTAATAGTTTTCAATTTCCTTCTGTTCCTGTCGGCAGAAGGCTTCGTTCTTTTTGCTGCAGTCACTTTGCAACGAGTTTCTTTTGGAATTCGCTTTGTTTGCCTGAACAATGCCGTCACGGATGGCAGAACTCGGGGCATGAATGCTGCCATTGTGTCGCCTCATCCTGCTTTCCTTGGGAACACTTGCAGAGGTCGCTTTTGCACGGATTCACTCTTCCATCTGCTAACGAGAGGCGTAAAGAAACGGGAAAGGAAGGAGAACGAGCGGATCAAAGCGTGCGTCGCTGTGAGCTCTGCGAGCCTCAGCGCGGCCGCGAGGAGGAGGAGGAGGGAAACGGGCTTCTCCGGCCCAAAGCGGCGGACGGGGCCGGGCCTGCAGTGCTCCCCTCCAACCAGCAGGGGGCGCCCCGCCCCGCCGCCGGCCCGCCCCTGTGGCGGCGCCCACCTCACGCCTCCTCTTCCCCACCCGACCTTACGTGACGTCGTCGCGGAGCGCCACGTCCGGCGCGGCCAGAAGGGGGCGTGGCCTCTCGGAGAGCCAATGGGGTGAGGGCGCGCGTGCGCTGCCGGTGGGCGCCGGGCGCGCGTCGCGGGCTGAGGCGGAGGGAGGGGGTAAGATGGCGGCGCCCGTCCTGCTGCGAGTGTCGGTGCCGCGCTGGGAGCGGGTGGCCCGCTCCGCCGTGTGCGCGGCCGGCATCCTGCTGTCCCTCTACGCCTGTCACCTGGAGCGGGAGAAGGGCCGCGATCTCCACTACCAGGCCTTGTGCGACCTCAGCGAGAGGGTCCGCTGCTCCGCCGCCATCACCTCCAGGTGAGCGGGAGAGCGGAGAGCGGCCGCCGGCAGCGAGGGGGGAGAACGGGCCGGGCGGGGGGCGGAGCTGCGCCTCGGGGGGGGCTCGGCTGGGAGCCGGAGGGGCTGGGAGCCCCGCGCTGAGAAGACCCAGGATGGGGATGAGGAGGAAGGGGTGCCGTGGGTGTGAGGCGGGCCGGGCCGCACGGCAGCGTGCGGGGCGGGGGCTGATGGCGGGCTGTTGTAACGGGCAGCCCGAGCTGCTCTGCATCGCGGCGTTGCGGGGTCTGCCGTGCGTGGCGAGGGCTTCCTTAGGAGGGGTTCGGCACAGCTGCAAAAGCCCCGCTCGCGTCTTGGCTTATCCCATGGGCTTCCCGTTAGTCTTT